TCACATGAGGAAGTGAAATATCCAGCTGTATTAAATCTACCAATGAAATTTAATGTTATTTGAGCCAGAGATAACCTTTGCAGTATTATATTAAGCATGTAATTTATGACTAAATATTCACCATTTACATTCAGAGGTTAATAGGTATGCACTGAAACCATGGGGAGGCACTGAAGAACAGGTGGGTTTAAAAGCTGGGAGGGTTCCTGGCCTTTGGTTAGAGAGCAGTATCACGGTACATGCAGAGCAGGAGAGAGCCTAAGTTCTGGGAAACAGAATGAGAAGAGAGGACATTTAGGTGTAGGGCCTGGAAATAAAGATAAACAACTTATTGGTAAGTAGCCTGAAGCAGTGAGAGTGGATTAAATCACCCAGATGTAAAAGCTGATAAAGCAAACTCTGTGCTGTGATAGGTAATCTCTTGTTAGAAAATGTCACTTTACTCTTTTTTTTTATGAAATGATAGACTTTATTTGGATTTCATCAATTTTTGTGTTAATGTCCTTTTTATTTTTTCCTTTTTTGGCCGTCATTTTATTTTATTTTTTTATTATTCAAGTACAGTTCCCAGTCAGGGCACATGGTGGTTTGCAGGCCAGGTCCCCAACTGGGGGTGCGCGGGAGTCAACCACGCATTGACGTTTCTGCCTCTCTCTCCCTCTCTTTCTCCCTCCCTTCCCCTCTCTCTAAAAATAAATAAATAAAATCTTTAAAAAAATACAAAGAAAATCTCCCTTTATTCTAATAGGATAACTGAAACTATATGTTTGCGTGTCATTTGAGATTTTATGGTAAATGCCATATAAAAATATAAATACAGATACAGTAACTTAAAGTGGGTGTCTAAAGTTTTCAACCTTGTCTCAAATACTGAGCACAAGTGAGGAGCCTAACAGACACTTCAGATTGGGGTGAGAAAGATCAAGGCCGTGAAGATAACATTCAGACTGGCCCCGGGCAGCCGCTGGGCCTGTTCCCACCAGCACTTAGAGGGTGCGGGGCTCCTGAAGCAGAAGCATGGCACGCAGTCAGCTGGAGTCTTGATTTCCCAACAGTCTGGTTACAGGCTGGGACAAGATTTTTGAGGTTAAGGTTTAAAAACTAATAAATTTTTTCTTTGCCTGATCAACATCTTACAGTCTATTTGAGCAGACTTCTGAACTGCAGATGTCCCAAGTCCAATCTTAACTGGGACATTTATTTATGTTTATTTAAATAAATGCTTGCAAGTATAATATTTTGGCATAGATTTAAAGACAAATCAAAAGTCAAAGTGCTGGCATAACCCAAGTCAGGTGTAATTGATGTGCGATTACTATTTTTAATTAATCTGTACATCTTCAATGTATATGATTAAATGTGAAATATTTTCACAAAATAGTTCCAATTATTTCTCACAAAATCAAGGGAAAAGTGTGTCAAAGCTGTTACTTTAGTTTTGACACCATTGGATTTGAAATGCCAAGCCCAGTGGGTACTTCTTAATCTTGAATTTATTTAATTCCTCTGTGCATTAACTTTGTTCTATAATCTCCAAAATAGCTACCCTGTTTCTTTTCCTTTCCATCTTATTCTTCCTCTGTCATCTTTGCCCATGCCTCTTCCTCAACTGTACCTTGCATTGAGAAACAGAGTTGTTACCCTAAGCTACAAACTAGTCAGTTGCAACCTTTCCTTACTCAACGTTTTCGCCTCTCTTACTTCCAGTACCTAGTTGGTGACCAGGTGAGTTTAATTCAGTGAACACCTGAGTCTGGTGCTCAGCTTCGTGATAGGCATAAAGTGCCGTGTTCAGTTATCTCAAGCTAGTCTGTCCTTACTGTCCCTACCACTACTGCCTTTGGTCAGGCTCTTGTCATTTCTTCCCTAGACATTTCTGATCAGCAAACATTAATTGAGAGTCCACTCTGTGTCAAGTACTATGCAGAGCAGTGGGGATGCAGAAATGATTAAGGTTTTATAGTAATAAGAGCAATAAACAAGTATATGCAATATAGGTTACATAGCGCATGACTTAGGAAATTTAAACTGATGGTAAATATTCCGTCATGGGCATAATAATGTGTTGGAGCAGTGGACAGGTTTGCAGTGGGTAAGGAGGCAGTCTCATGGAGTGCAGGGTTGACTGCTGCAAAGAGCCAGCCCAAGATAGGCAGCAATACTACTTGGAGGAATAGGTGTAAGTCTGATTCTTGTACTGTTGCTGTTTCTCCCTGTGCCATATCAGCTTGTCTTCAATTTTGTTTTACTGTTTTCTCCCCAGTATTTTATAATCTTTACTGGAAAGCTGCCAAGACTGCAGGGCTGGATTTCATTTTTAATTTATGGGAAACGGTATGTGCACAGAATATTCCTTAATGGAATGGTTGTGTAAGGCATTTGCATAAGATGTGTAAGGTACAGAAAGTAGTACAGGAGGAATCCATTGTGAGTAGGCCAGGGAAGACTTTACAAAAGTGATTTATTTGAGTAGGGCTTTGAAGCTGGTGACACAGAGCAGGTGAGTAGCATATATGAAAGCACCAAAGTACATGTTGGTAACTGTAATTTCTTAGCTCTGGAATATAATGGACAAGGAACACTTTGGCTGGAAACCATGAGGGCAAAAGAATAGTTAGGGGCCTTAGAAAGACCAAAATGCACTTTGTGTTCTAAGCCAAGGAATGCAGGCCATGCAGAGCTGCTGAAAGCTTTGAATCAGAGGATGGAGCTGGGTTGGTATTTGAGAAAGAAGTGCTAGCCTCCCTGAGATCTGCCCTGCATTCTGTCCTCGCCATCTCCAGAGCCAGCTTAGTAAAAACACCACACCGGCCATGTAAATCACAGCTGGAAGCTTAAGATGATCCCCAGATCCCAAGTCCAATTTCGTATCACTTCTGTGAGGAAAGTGGCTGCGGCCTCTGCCTTGAACTTGTCTGTCATCAGACACCCACACGGCTCCTCCTTGGTTCTGTTCATGTCTGTGCAGAAACATCGCATCAGAGGCCTTCCCTGGCTGTCAGAACCAGCACCCTGTCACTGCTTCGCTCCTCACCTGGCTTTGTTTGTTTTTCCAGCCCGAAAATTACATGTTTAAGTATATACATATCCTCCCACTGGAAAGGAGCTTTGCGAGAACAATAGTTTTAGTGTGTTTTGCTCACTGCTGAGTGTTCTGTGCTGGGCATATGGTGGGTGGTCAATACTGGTTGAAAGAATGTGGTCCCAACCAGCTTCCCCCTTCTCTCTTTGAACCCCATGCTTCACATTGTAGACCAGGGAATTCTAACACAGTTCACCATTTCTCAGTCACGTTTCCTTCTGAAATCCTGTTCCTATTTCAAGATTCATTTCATATTACCAATTGTAAAAATCTCTTTTCAAGTAATTGCTCCCAGTACTTAGCTCCTGTAACACTTTTCAAATGTGTAGGAGAAGCTGTTTTCATGGATTGTGCAGGACATGACAGGTGCAAATAAATATTTGTGTTGACAGGTGATTGATCCGTAGAGAGTTAGTAGACATGCATTACAGGTAAAAGTTGAAATTCAGTTGATTAATTGGAGAAATGTAGTAATTTAGGTGTGACTTGAATTTGTTGATAAATGCAATATGATTAAGGGAAAATAGAGAAACAGTCACCAATTTCTGTTAATTATACAATTATACAAACAGTCTAGAGATAGTTTTACTCACTTGTATGTGTGCCATTTTACCAATTTAGTAATCTTTTTTGTAGAAACAGCATACATTATAACAGAAAAAAATAGAAATAGGCACGTTCTGAAGATATTACTTGTTAGGGACAGTGTAAAAAACATTAAAATTTCATATTTTTTGCACAAAGTATTATTTCTGCAGATATAACAGTGGAAAACAACTTAGGAATATTTTGATTACATCAAATTGATAGCACTAAAGCCAATTTCTGCTTTTTAAAAATACTATCATTTGAATTGTCAAAAATGCCTTTGTTTTCCTGTTGAAACTGGAAAAAAGTCTGTTATAAGAACATTCCGGATAATTCTTTATTTTTATGTCAAGTGGAAAGGTGCAGAGTCATGATCAAAAAATTACTTTGTTTTGTTTTTTACCAGTTTCTCTATTTCCGTTCCGCATGGATGTCTGATGGTCTGTCAGTTCACCTTACATAGTGAATGTCTGCTGTGACTTCCTGGCTAAGGCCTTTGTGTGCAGTAGCCCAGCTTCTCATTGCTCAGCCCAGGCTCTGCTCCTCGCCATAAGTGTCTCTTTCCTCCGTTGAAAATCATGCCAAATGCTTGGGTTTCATTGAATTTTCTGCTTGAGGGACAAACTATGGATGCTGCTAATAAAGAGCAGTCATAAAAGCAAAATTTTCCTATAATCACAGTTAATCTCTAGTATTTGTCATTCAACAAATAGAAACATCTAAAGTCAAATGTTTTCTTCTTTCAATATTGGAGGATCCCATCAGATGGTGGTATAACCATCTGCAGGTTGCAGGGGGCTTCGACAGATTGTCATGACCAGGATGAAAGGGTTCAGTGCAGGAAGCTGGGAGGATGAATGTAAGTGTTTTATTAAGGGTTGCTCGTATTTATCTGCAGCATAAATGATGCCAAGATGCTTCTTGTGGAAGATTGAAAGAAAGCATGATTTTCACGTAATTTATTACAGATTTCTTTTTTTCCCTTTCCCTCACAATGGTTGTGTTTAAAGGAGAAAAAGTCCTAGCAGATTTGTTAATTGGGAATCACTGTGCCACAAGTGTATGAAGTGTAAAGTATATGAGATATACTCAGCATTTTCCTATGATAGGTTCATGATCCTTTAATAAAATATTATAAAGAATTTTACCCATCCCCCTGTTTTGCATAATTAAGATGTAAAAGGAGCATTTTGAAAGGATTTATGTAAACTTAAAGTAGATTTCAGATGTTTGCTTAATGAGAAATATCTGAAGAGGTGCTATATAAGGCAGTGGAAATATTTGCTTTATGTATTTTAGAGTATTTTATGGCATTTTGTTTGTTTTTCAGCGTCAAGCCAGTGCCGCCTGAAGGAATCAAGTCGAATCCTTCCAAGCGACACAGAGACCGACTCAACACCGAGTTGGACCGTTTGGCGAGCCTGCTGCCTTTCCCACAAGATGTTATTAATAAGCTGGACAAACTTTCCGTTCTTAGGCTCAGTGTCAGTTACCTAAGAGCCAAGAGCTTCTTTGATGGTAAGACAAAAGGGTTTGATTTTTCTGTAATCACTTACAAAATACTTGTGTTGAATTTGGATGTTTCTGCTTCAGTGTTGAAAACTGCAAAAATTTGCCATCTGTGAAGAAGTTTTGTTTATTGCTATATAGTAAAACTTAAGTAGCAAAGCCAAGTATCTAGTATTTCCAAAAGTCAGTTTTCCAGATTTACTCACCAAACAGGTGCTGCCATTAAATGATGATGTGGTGTCATTCTTTGAAAAATTATGTACTTGGAACTTATGCTCAAATTAATAAGTATGCCAGTTCCCAGTTCCACTTCCTTTTCTAATTCACTTTTTAAGAGTCTCTCTCTCTTTCTTAAATGGAAAGAGTAAAACACATGTTAATGATTATGGATTCCCTTCAGTCTATTTATATAGATATGTCATTTTATTTAATTAAGTCATAGTCAGGTATAATTCTGCTTTGTATTGCCTCTGTGTTTATCTAGGAAAATATAATTAAAAGTTTCTTTTCCCCTGAAAAGGACATTTCACTATAGGAGTCAGTGGGATTTAATTCTGCACTGTGCTGCTGACAAACTATTTGAAAAACCAAACCAGATGGCATCCTCAAACCTCACTTTACTCGGCTGTAAAGTTAGGGATTTGAGCTAGGTGATATTTGTTACCTTTAATCATACAGCATTTCCTAGTCATGAAGAACAGTTCTGATCTGGGCAGTAAACACTGATTTGAAGATAATGATTTCAGGGGTTCATAGCAGACACTTAAATTTTCTCTGATTTGCATAAAAAGTCTTTAAATTTTTAGTTTTCATCTATAGCAGACCATCTTCTAGATGAGTTATGTGATGTTTGTGTGGTGTGTGTGTGTGTGTGTGTGTGTGTGTGTGTGTATCAGCTATATAGCCATTTTATAATAGAGCTGAAACTAGAACCCAGGTTTCCAGATTCCCTATATTGTGTTCCTGACTATGTCTCAATTACTTCTCTTTTCTGGGAACCTTCTATTTAGCAAAATCCTGAGAATTTTCCCAATATCCACAGTTCTCAAAGTATCGTCTGCAGACAAGCAGCACTAGCATCCCTTGGGAACTGGGAGAAATGCCAGCCCTTCGGCCCCCTCCCAGACCTAGGGCATCGTAAACCGGGGTGGTGCGGCTGGATCTGCAGTGCAAGCCCAGGAGCCCCTGTGGTTGGCTGTAACCCAAGGCCACTTCCAGCTCCGTGGCACGTTGTCCTGATCTCCAGTGTGTATTCCCTTGCTGTGCTTCCTGCTTGACCTGTGGCCAGGGTTCCGTGGCATGTGAGATGTGCTCTCTGCTCTTAGAGTTCACACTCTAGAAGCCAGAGAGGCATTATTCCTTGATTCTAGTAAAGATGTGTTGATGGGAGTCATTTTGCCTTTTCATTTCCTCCTGCTCTATAATGAGAAATCACACTGTGTGTTAGAAGAGAAAAAATATAGGTTGTTCCCTGTTGAGAAGTAGTGGCGTAGAACCAAAGCTGCTTAGTGAGTTTGTAGCCAGCGTGCCATTTAATACTAACATAATTACTGCCTTTCTAGGCTGTGCGTATGCATGCATCCATACATGCATATATACACACATTAATGTGTATGTATATTTAGTGTATAAACTTACATACATTTTTTTCATGATTAGACAGGTACATCCTGTTCAGTATCTCAAGCAAAGGAGTTTCCAAAGAGTGTCATAGTGTATCTGGAGTTCTTGTTGCACAGTATTTTCTTAGCTCTTCATTAAGGAGTTTGTGTATTTTTTTTAATTCTGGTTTGACGCATTTGACAGTAGACTCTTAATCCCTTATTTGCACTATCAGTTATATTATCTTGAATTTTAGGCCCTTTGCATTACTGGTTTTTGAACTTCAGTGTGCATCAGAATCACCTGAAGAGCTTGTTAAAAATGCACGTTCTGAGGCATGCCCCTTTTATGCTGATTCTACATAGTTCTATGTGGAACCCAGGAATGTGTATTTTTAACAAGCACCCTAGTGTCTGAGACAGTGATATAACTTGGCCTTGATTATACCCTGAATTACTTTTTTAAATCATTGTTTACATTTGCCTTCTGAAAGACAAATCCAAATGTACAAAATTTTAGGAAGACTATAAATGTGTTTGCTTGGGTTTCAGTGCGTATCCTAAGCCATTTCTTAGGTTGTTCAGATACAAGAGTTGGGTGGGAGGTGAGGGGAGTAATCAGTAAAAAAGATGCTAAAGTCTTGTTCAGACCACCGGTGGTCCGGGACGGGAATGCAGTCTTTGAGAGAGCAGAGGGAGTGAAAAATCTTAAGGCAATCCTTCTGACTTGAAGAAATACTAAATGGAAATGAGGAGACTTGGAGGAGGCTGATAATGATTAGGATTTTTGTATGCTCAAACCACTATTAGGGAAACAGTATAGCGAAGCGAAGGGAAGCTCTAAGTGAATAACAGGATGCAAACAGGGGGTGTGTGAATTCCTGCGGAAAGAACAATATAAACGAGTAATCATACAATCTTGTTAGAAAGGAAACTCAAGTTTTACTGTAACAATAGATATTTTTCCAAGAAAATACATCTATTTATTGCAAGTTTAAATAATCCAACTTGGATGAATCTTCTTAAACTTTGGAGCCAGGACTGTCCTGCTGAAGCAATACTTAAAAGTTTTTAAGTACAACACCAATATTTAGCCATATGTAATTAATTAAGACATTCTAAAATATAGCTTTGAAGGGTTTGAACAAGACTTAGCTATTTTTCAATTATGTTAAGGTTAGAAGAAGTTTCTCTACAATATTAAATTAAAAGTATTTTATAATAAATGTTGTAACTCAGGATTGTGGTTTATTGTCAACACTGTGCAGGCTCTCAATTGACAAAGAAGAAACAGGGAAGAAACATTTCTGCCCTCTGACGATTCAAGGTCTATTATTTCAGGAACAGACATACAGTGCATGAAAACCTTTGAAAAGGCCCATATTAAACATTTGTAATGCAACATTTAAGGAGTATTTTCAAGGGAAATAAAATACTACTTAATATATGCTAGTTAATTAGTTTGGATTTCAACTAAAGAAATAATTGAAGGAAACTTCGAATGTTTGATCCTTGAAAACTCTTGAACTGCACATACTCTAGACAGTAAAGCTCAGAATTGTTTTCCAGTTTGTACTCCATGTTTATGCTGCAGAAGAAGTAACCACTATAACATGTTTTATAACACAGTGCTTTTTTTGGGGGGGGGTGCACTTAAACATGCCATAGATTGCCCTTCTCTCACTAGAATGGAAGTCCCTTGAGAATATTGTGTTTGCTGCTAGATCTTAACCTCTTAAAACAATGCCTACCACATAGTAGGCATTTAATAAATATTTATCAACTTAATTTCACTAACATGTCTGAAAGGCAGTGTAAAATTCGTACTGAATATTCTAGGTGATGTGTTTAGAAATATATTTCTGGGGCTTGGTTTAGGATGTTTTTTACTATTTCCAGATAATCTGTTAATAGCCAATTTGCCCTTATTGGTTACATCGGTTATTTTATTCTTGCTCTATAAATATCCAGATGCAAGAAATCATTTTTTTAATTGAATTGTTGCAGTTAGAAATTTTTTACAGGGTCTCTGATGGGCTGGATCAGAGAGTGAATCGTGTGCGAGTATTTAAGGACTCAAATGTCAAGGCCCTGGACGCCCTTCCGAACCGACTAGTGTCATTTGTATCCTTCCTCGGTGCTGTCAGCGCTGCCTGTCACGTTCCCCAGCCTCTCTTTTGGCTCTTTTGCCATCGCTTTATGTTCGTCATCTTGTTCCTGGGCCACTGCACCTTTTCTTTGCTGGATATTCCTTTTGTGCTTCCCAGCAGTCTGGCAGTCTGGTTACATTTTTTATTTTTGTCAGCGTCGATGGGATGTACAAATAGGACTCTGGGTTTAATAAATCACCCCATTAGGAAATTTGGGATCTGAAAAATTCCAGAATAAGGTGGCAGTGTATTGTTTATTTCTGCACAGTGGACACATTTAGATATGCTTGAGGATTAATGATGTGTTAATAACAGAAATAACAGATTAGCTAAAATAGCAGAATCTGCTTAAGTTCCATTCAGTTCCCTCAGCAGCACTGTTCGTCTTTGTTGCCTGCTATTCTCCCCTGCTGCTTATTTTTTAAAGACTCCTTTTAATTATTTTCTTGTCCAAATCATTGTGTCTTAGACGTGTTTCTGGAGAACCTTTTTTGTTGTTAGCAAAGAACGGAAATCCAAAATTGCTGTTTTCTGATGCCGGCAATTAAACAGGGTCAAGTGCAACGTTTCACCTCTCAAGACAGATTAAATCACACTAGCAGGGAGCCTGGGGACAGCTGCGTGGTCAGGCGGAGCCCTGAGGTGACAGTCAGTGTGCACGGAAGGTCCTGGAAGCGCAGACTGGAAGAGGTCCTCAGGTCCTGGCCACTCTGTTCAGACCTTTTCACCACATCTCAGAATGTTGAGATGTCACTTTTTTTCTTAATTTAAAAAGAAAAAAATGGAACATGAAAGGAAGAAACAAATCTCAAAATGAGTATCAAACTCAAATACCATGTTACTTCTGAGATGGAAAACATTTGCTAAATTTAAATAATTTAAGAGATTGTGATGAGTTAAAAGTTTATCAGGAGGGTCTAAGATTTGCATGGGTACAACCCAGCCTTTGAAATTGGTTAATCCTAAAGGGGAGGATGGTTTCTTCCTGGCTTGTGTCTCTTCGTGCCAGGGTCAAACGGAGGTTGTGAGGCTTGTTGACCAGTCTCAGTGGGCTTGGTGATGTTTTATTCTGAGTTAGAGTAATGTCAGCATGTAAAACTTTGAATTAGGTTTCATTACCACCATTTAAAATACTGATCATCATATAAGGATTGTGTTTAAATGATTTCCCTTTTTGACAGCAACCCCAGAGTTAAAAAACTGGGAATGACTAATCCATGTTCTCTGTCAAGACCCAAGTGTCTAATGAGGTAAAAAG